CGCCATACGTTTCCTCTCAACTGCTACTGCAATATCTTCCCCTGCTCGAAGAATAAATTTTCATCACATACACTTCCTCTCAACTGCTAGTGCAACATCTTCTTCTCCTGCTCATAGAACATCAAATTAAAAGCCAACTATTGTGGATGATAGCTACATACAATCACTGCCAATTTATTTCATGGTGATGGCTTAGTTGTCTTCCAAATTGCTTTGAGTAGTTAAGAAGAACTTTTTTTATTATATGTACACTTGAATTGTGTTTAGAAAAAAGAAATTACTATTTTTTAAAGCAATTTTTTAGTAAATTTTTTTTGAAAGAATCAAAATGACAGTCATAAAAAACAATTCAAAACGAAGCCTTAGATAGAGATATTTCAATTAGTATTATTAGTGTTTATTCAAAATATACCATTCTGATCATTTTTATTCAAAATATGCAATTTTTTAGTATTATTAGTTTTTTTATTCCATTTAAGATTTTGTTTATTCAAAATATACCATTCTGATCATTTTTTCTTGTTTAGTTAATCTTTTTTATTCAATAATAAATTATTTTATATAAATAAGAAGGCTTTGATCTACATATAAGATCTTTGACTGAAGACAATAAGTTTGGATCCGCTCTTTTGATTTTCACACTTAGTACTTGAGTCATTTTATTTGGATTAAAGAAATGAAAGTTAAATAATTTACTTTTTTACTCTAATATTCATTTTCTTTCAATCCAATTTCAAGCATTTAGGAGTGATAATTTTACTTGTAACTTCAACATCATTTCTTCTAATTTTAGTCAAAACCCAAATTTGCTTTGGCCAAAAAATAGCTCAATTGACTTATTATCACCATTATAGGCATCCTAACACAAACTATATAATGTATCTTCTTAAGTTATAATGGCATGCAATTGAACTTATATCTATAATGTTAAAGTAAGAATAATAGTTATTTTTTAAAATACATATTTAATGCTATAGGAAGAATATTACTTATTTTCTAAATCACTAAATTATGCATGAGGAAAAGTATATGTATGGAAGGGAGAAATTGATGGAGGAAATAAGATTTTTGATCAACTAGCAACATAGTCTTATTGAACAACTTGAACTTGTGGATACATTGTGTCAGCTAGGACTTGGTTATCATTTTGATGCAGAGATCAAGAGTTTATTGGGATCTATTAGTTCATCAATGAAAAATATCAACAGTTTGATATATAATAACAACCTTCATGATTTTGCATTGCACTTTAGGCTTCTTAGAGAACATGACATCCATAATGCTTCAATACTAAGGTATGCACTAACAAATGTATGCAAGCAAATTTTTCATTTAAAATTTATTAATTCAATGTAAATGTAACATAAGAGTTTAGTTTAAGTGGAAGCTCTTTTGTTCTCAGCATATAGTGTAAGTCACACATTCACATCTATTCTATCATTTTCTAGAAACTTAAATTTGCATGGGATTTTATCCTTATCCCCCGTTTATCTATATACTAAAATCTTTCTTACCTATAATTGACTTCATGCCTTACTTTCAAGTAAAGAAATATTTGTGAGAAGTTTTTCTTCAAAATAATATTAATAATAATTATAATGTTAATCGAATTAATGGATTACCTATATATGCAAGTTTTATTAAGATTATTATAGGGAAAATATAAGATTTTGAGTGAGTTTAAATTTTATCATATTTAGATGCTAATGATGATAATAATAATATTTCATATTTTGTTGTAATTTATTTTATATATTGGTTAGCTATCCTAATGTCTATATATTTAGAAATTTAGCTTACATCTAAGTGTTTTCAGCATATATAACATAGATATTAATAAATAAAGCTATCCTTACTTAACTTCAAATACTATATCAATTCTATGTCATATTAGTAGCAAGTATGCCTAAAATGTTTTTTAAATTTGCAGACTTGATGATTTGATAAGCTGCTTTAAAACATAGCTAGGAAGAAAGTTTCAATCTCAACAATCAATGAGATTTCAAAGAAATGCTTAACTTGTATGAGGCTTCCTTCCTTTCTATGGAAGGAGAGGATGAATTGGATGAGGAAGAAAAATTTGCAATGAAGCATTTAAAATACCATGATAGATCTTTACTACGGCGACAACTTGTTGAACAAATAGAACATGCCTTGGAGAAGCCCTTGCATTAGAGAATGTCAAGGTTACATACTAGATGGTTCATTGATGCATATGGGAGACAAAAGAACTTTAATCCCATATTGCTTGAGTTTTATAAACTTGATTTCAATATGGTACAGAGTATCTACAAGATAGAGCTTTAGGAATTGTCCAGGTAGTTTGTGTTTCTCATTATGTATATGTGTGCAATCTTCTTATAATTATTTTGAGAAATATTGATGCCTGTCTATTTTATCCTTAGGTGGTGGAGAAATCTCCATGTTGTTTGTGGAGAGATTAATTTTGCAAGAAATATTGGTGGAGAACTATTTATAGGCCATAGGCTCTACATTTCAATCTAAACTCTGGCGAAGTAGAAAAGAAATAACCAAAATTAATAGTCTCATAACAACAATTGATGATATTTATGATAATTATGGTACCTTGGATGAATTAAAGCTATTTACAAATGCTATTGTAGAGAAAGGAAGTGCAATAAATCGTTTGATATGCATAAAGTAGTTTTAATTAGCTATTATTATAAAAATTTGATAAACAATAGTAACAAAAAGATTAGTAAATGCAATCAAATATATTTACTTAAAAAGTCCTTAGTTAACATATTGTAGAATAAAATTGGAACTCCCATATGGAATATGGCTATAATAAAACAACTTCCTAATTGCATGAAGAAATGTTTGAGATCATTTTTTAATACAATGGATGATATTGCCTCCTCATTTTCAAAGCAAAAAGAGTTGGACATTCTTCCATGCCTAAAATGAATCGTATTATAACAATTATTTCAATTAGCATGCCTTTTAAGTTTTTAAAAATGTATTCAAGCTTTTTCTTCAGATTCCAATCTTTAAAAATAAATTTGTGAAATATAATTAAGCTTGTAAATATACAAGGTTATGTAGATTCTGATCTTGCTAGAGATCTTGATGGTAGGAGAAGCACAACATGTTATATCTTTATTTTGGAAAAGACTGTGGTCAGTTGGGTTTTCGAGTTACAGAAGACTGTTACACTCAACCACAGAAGCGGAGTATATTGCTATCACTGAGGCTAGTAATGAGATGATTTGGTTGCAAACTTTCTTGACATAACTTGTTAAGCAACAAAGGAATGGGAAGATGTAAAGTAACAATATGAGTCTATACATCTAGAAAAGAGTAATGCATTCCATGCTAGGATGAAATACATCCAGTTTCGATATTATTTCATCAGGTCACTTTTGGAAGATGGCTAGTTATATTTGGGGAAGATACACACGACCAAGAATTATGCAGTCATACTGATGAAGATGGGTGCAGTTGATAAAATTGAGCAATTTGTAGCTTCAGTTAGTCTTTATAAAGGATGAAAGCATGAGTGAGACACACTACCGGTACTATGATTGGTGTTATAGATCGAAAGAAGGGTTGATTGCAATCAGTTCTAAGTGGGATATTGTAATGTGTGGAATATGAATGTGTTAATCAATCTAATTATTATGTTGTCTCGAACCTCAAAGCTTGTCATATTCGTTGAGGGGTGAGGGGGGTTTACACCCTACTTGGATTTGGGTGCTTTTCCCTAAAAATTTAGTACAACTCCTCGGCAGTGTGTACATAAGCGTCTCGTCGCTACGTACTCAAGTGCCCCAGCATTGAGTTCTCGAGCGCCCCAGAGCTAAACGATAGAGAACAGAGCGCCGCAATGGTATAAATATGGCACTGAAGCAGTGTAAAATAGATGTTTGAGCACCACAATGCCCAAATCAGCGCCACAACACTTACGAGACTGACTGTATGATTTATTTTCTCATTTTTCTGAAGGGTTGCATCCCTTGGGGTTATTTTACTTGGCTTTCTCTTATATTTTTAGTGTGTAGACATTGAGAATAGTGCATGTGAGAAGAGAAGGAGAGAGTGAAAGAGAAGAGAGATATGTACTTACTTATCCTAAATTTTATAGTGGATTTCTTGGTGCGGTGTGGCTCCATGATATTTTTCCATATTTTGAACTTTTTCACACTAAATCCTAGTGTCCTTTACTTTTCCCTGCTTATACTTTCTTGCTTGTTTCATCATTGTGATTTTTACTCCTCATCTTCGTCAACATGGTCCTTAAACCACTATCATCCAACTACGTCCCTCTAATCATCGCTGGTTGACTACTATCCTTCCAACCTCCATCTCCCACCGACTATTATCCTCCATCGTTCGTTTCCTAGCCTCCGGCTATAATCCTAAGGCTATTTTTACCTAACTACGGTCCTTCAATCACCATTGTCTGACTACGACTTTTCAACCATAATTGTCCGACTATGACCTTCCAACCACCGTTGTCTGACTACGACCTTCCAACCACCATCACCCATCTACGAACCTTACAACAACCCTCGTATGACTACTATTATTATAATCGTCACCTGTCAACTATGGTCCTTTGACCACCATTATCCGTAGAGTTTAGTCCTCCGACCGATAATATTTTGGCTATTATCACTGGCTACTCCAACACCTATTGGCTTCATCATATTCCATCACTAATAATGCCAACACACGCTATCACTTACAGGATCAACGCACGCCACCAACATCAACTTTGACTCCCAATTCCAACACTTAGATTTATGCTGGATTCCATTTCAACCATATAATATATTTTTTGCATGATATCAATGCCTTGTCTCGAGGAAGCGTTTCACTTGTAATCAAATATAAATACAAGTAGAATTAATCATTTTGGGGATCTTGTAAAAGTTTTGACATCGAAACATAAAATTAGCGTGTAGTGATAGAGAGAGAAGCTCTGGGTTTTTAGGGTTTGGCGCGCTTCTTCGGCTTCCCTCTCCCGTCTGGCCGTCATGGCGGGCAATTTGCAAAATTTTCCCCCGCTTCCTGGCAGTGCCTCTTTGTTAGGAGTTGCACCTTCCCCCGCTCCCCCAGCTCTTTCTTATGCTAGCAATCTCACAGCTCCTCTTGCTAATCGCGAGGAGTGGCCGATGTCCTTCGTCAACCCGACCAAAAAACTCTCCTTTGCTGCTTCTGAGCTTACCGAAGGTAAAGATTTGTGGGATCTTTGCCTTGTGGGCTACTCTTTGGTTCAAAGACCGTATTACGAAAGACTTCTTATGGCGATGAACAAGGCGTGGAAGCTTAAAGGCTCGTTCTCGCTGCTCTCCCTTGCTGATGATTTTTTTCTCCTGAAGTTCACTTCCAGTGAAGATTTTGATATGATCTGGTCGGGAGGACCTTGGTTTCTCCTTGGCAAACCTTTCTTCCTTCAGAAGTGGAATCTGAAGTTCCAACCAAAGCGAGACGAAGCTGCCTCTATCCCTCTGTGGATTAAGATTCCCAACCTCCCCCTTGCTCTCTGGACACCTTCAGGTATCTCAAAAATTGCCAGTTACGTACATTGGCATTCCTCTCTATGTGGATTCTCTTACCGCCAAAAGAACTCGACTTACTTTTGCGCGAGTTTGTGTTCAAGATGACAAAAACTCGGTTTTGCCAGACGATATTCTTTTGGAAATTGATGGTGATGATTTGGTTCTCAAAGTTGTCTATGATTGGAAACCGTCGAAATGTGATGGCTGCGGTTCTATAATCCATCCTTATGCTCTGTGTCCATCTAACCCTTCACCCAAGCCTTCTCTTCCTCCAAAACCTACTTTTAGGGACAGGAGCACGAGTCGGGCTCCTACTGCTAGAGGTAAAAGATCCACTTCTCGGCCCAAGGTTAATTTTCTGGTTAACCCTCCTCTAAACATTAATTCTGCTTCTACATCCCAAACCCTGCCCACGACACTTCCTCCTTCTCAACCAGCCACAGATCAGCCACCTACCTCTACTGAAATTGCCAATGAACCTCTTATTACTCCTCCTGACAATACCACATCTCTCCCTAATCTGAATTTACCGCATGAAGAATCTTCCTCTTCGGGTCAATCCCTTCCACTTCTTCTTCTTCGTCCCTCGCAAGTGGTTTTAGCTAATAGCTTCGCCTCTCTTCCAGTTGAAAATTTGGACAATTCGGAAGAGGCTAAAGAAGATGAAGTTCATTCTTCCTCTGCTTTTTCCGAGGAAGTTCTTCCTCCCTCCTCTTCCTCCAAAGCTTCTCAGCCCAACTCCAAAACTCCTTCCAACTCTGTTTCCTCCCCTGACAAAAAAGCCAAGCCAAAAACGGCCAAAAAGGCCAAAAAACCCAAATAACCCATGTCCTTGCCCGCTATCGCTGCTTGGAACGTTAGAGGGTTTAATAACCCGACCAAAGCCAAGTTGTGTAAAGATCTCATAGCCACTTACAGTCTCAAAATGCTTTGTATTCTTGAAGCAAAAATTCACAATTCTGTCTCTCAGGATCCTTGGTTTCTTTTCTCTCATACTCTGTTTCACAATGAAGAAAGTTACGATAATTTTTCTTTCTCCAACCCCGGTAGAATTTGGCTCAAATGGGATGCTTCCCAGATTTCGTTTTCTCCTCTCTTGACCTCTTCTCAAGTTGTTCATGGAATTGTGGTAGCTGGGTCCCTACCACCTATCTATCTGTCGGTGGTTTATGCAGCTAATGAGTTGGCTGATAGGAGATTGCTATGGGAGGATCTCTTGAACCTCTCGGTGGGGCTGGAGCATCCGTGGGTTGTCATGGGTGACTTTAACTGTTGCCGGTTCGAAAAGGATAAAGCGGGTGGGAACCCCTGTCTGCTGATCGTATTGGGGAGCTTAATACCTTTGTTTTTATTCGGGCTTGCAAATCTGGCTTCTGTGGGGCATTTTTTACCTGGCATAACCAAAGGACTGATAATCCTATTCACATTAAGCTGGATAGGATGCTTGGTTAACCATGCTTTTTAGATCTTTTCCTTCCGCTTTCATACAAGTGGATATCCCTCTGGCTCTGATCATTCCACCTCTTATTCTGTCTGCTAAACCTTTGAAAAGACTTTCTCAAGGTTTAGTACAAGGCTTTTTGGGCTAATATGGATGGGTTTTGGAAGAGTTTCAAAAGCTTTTGATAGACAGGTCTCTGCTAGTCCTATCAATTTTCTTTATGATTGTTTAAAGATGCTTAAAGGTGGCATTCGTGAAAAAAAACTGGAGCTCTTCCCATTTCATTTCCAATGCATTTTGGAGATGAAAAATATTCAACAACGTTGCATTTCTGACACACAGACCGATCCTTTAAACCACTCTTAAACATTTCTTTGAAGGATGCTAATGATAGGTTAGCCCCTTACATTCCTGATGTATACTTGGATTTCGCAACGGGCTAACTTACTGGCTTTCTCAAAGGGGAGGACGATCTTGCTTCCTTATGCCAAGAATTAGGTCTAGGAAGAACCGAATACTATTAAGAACTTGTCACCGCCTACTGGTATCCCACGTCTCATGAAGATTTAGCCCAGGCCTATCTCACACTTAAGAGGCTTTTAATCCTACCCCCCCCCCCCCCCCCCCCACCCACCTATGGTTGATGCTATAACATTCCTTCTGGCATAAAGATTCCCACTCATTTACTCTCTAATCTTGTCACTCTGGTGACCAATGATGAGATTAAAAAGTGGTCTTTGATGGGTTTCTATACTTCTACCCCAGGTCCTGATGGGTTCTCTTATTGGTTCTACCAAAAGACTTGCATATTACTGGATACCATGTTTGCAGGGCGGTCAAGCATTTTTTTTCCACTGGTGTCAGCCTCGAGGAGCTAAAGCCGCACGATTACTCTTATTCTAAGGGTACTCACTCTTCCTCCCATTTCTGACTATAGACCTATATCGCTTATTGAATGTTTCTACAAAATTGTGGCTAAAATTTTTGCTAATAAGGCTTAAACCTATTCTCCCCTTGATTATTCATGATAGTCAGTCGGGTTCATTCTAAGAGATGCTCGACTGATAATGTTATTCTGCTTCTGAAGCTCTGAGGAATTCAAGAATAGTAATAAAATTTTCATGTGCCAAGCTTGAATAAAAAGCTTTTGATACTGTCTCTCGCAACTTTCTTAATAAACAGATGAAGGCCAAAGAAGCATTTCCGGAAATTTTATTAACTGGATTAAAGGGTCATTATGGATGTTCATTCTCTATTTGCCTTAAATGTGCCTTTGCGAGGGTTTTTTTCAATTCTGTTGCTGTGTTCATGAGCAGGGTTGCCCTCTCTCTCTACTTGTCTGCATTGTCATGGAATGCGCCTATCCACATTGCCTTGATGCTCCTGAATGGTATTTTAGGCCTTATAAATAAATGATACTAATGTAACATCTCATGTTGCTGATGATCTCATTAGTTTTTGCGGCTTAGCCACATTTTGGAGAAGCTTCATCTCTTAAGGACAGATCTTAAAAAAATTTGCTGGATGCTACTGGCCTCAACATCAAACCCATTAATAAAAGCTCTCTGCTCTTCTAGAGGCGCATTCCGATGAGTCTGTTTATCTACTACGGTCTTAGGTTTCTCATTGGAGGAGTCTATCATCACTTACCTTGGCATTCCCCATCTCTACCTCCAGAACTGAATCTATTCTCACTGTCCAACCCCTACCTGAAGTAGAATTCTTCTACATCTACTTGCGGGTCTGGAAAGTTTAAATTTCTTTCTTTTGCAGTAATTACAATTCATCAAGTCACAATTTGACCACACTATGCCGTATCTGGATCGTTCTGGAAGTGTCTATTACCCAAAGCTGTCTAGAAATTTGAATTTCTAAACTTTGTTTAAATTCTTATTTTCTTGGAAAATTATTCAGAATAACAACACGCTCCCACTTATGAATCTTGGAAGTCCTGTTATTCTTACCAAAATACAAAGAGGGATTAGGTCTGCAACTTCTCTTGATATCTCTACCATAAAATGAGCTACCTCCTTTAATTTCCAGGAATGGCTCAACAAACAACACTTAATGGCAATGGTACATGAAAAATTTGAATCACCGTGGAAAATTCCACACCTCACCATGCCTATAAGTTCTGGAAGTTGATCTGCAAGGTGGCTGCCTCTATTCTCCCTTCTATTTCTCTCTGGGTTAACAAAAACTGCAACTTATCATTCCTTTGGGATCCTTGGTGTAAGAAGAAAGCTTTAGCTGACCTCTACTATTTTACCAAATTCTCTCATTTGCCGGTTAATAGGTTTATTCAGGATGGGGTGTGGATGTTACCTGTTGAGCTCCCTACGGGTATCATTTCTCATATTAATAGCATTGATATTTTTGAAGATCATCCCGTGATTACTTGGGAGGGCTCTCTCTCTCCTTTCCCCCCCTCTAAGAATGTTTTGGCTGCTTTTCATGAAGCTACTGAGAATGTGTCTTGGTTTAATTTCATCTGGCATAAAGGTCACGCTTTGAGATACACATCCTATGCTTGGATGGCTATAAGGGGAAAGTTGAAAACTGCTGATAATTTGCTTTCCCGTGGCATTCAGGTGCCGGGGCACTGCTCGTTTTGCATGAATTTTTTGGAAAATCATCCTCACATTTTCTTTGAATGTGACTTCTCCTTCTCCATTCTTAATGCTTTGCTACCAGATACCAAAAGGTTCTATCTTAGGCCTTATCTATTGCAGGTCTACAATTTATTTGATAATATGCAAGAATATAGTAGGAGGGATAAGTTTTTCTGTTATTTTACGGTAGCCACTTTGATTTATTATACCTGGAGGGAAAGGAACAACCGCAGATTTGCAAATGTTTGGAGATCACCTTCTGAGGTGAGTCTAGATGTTACCTATGCTGTACGTGCTAAAGTTACTAATTGTAATGGGTTTGATGCCCTCAAAGAGAAGTTTCCTCACATTCTGGGTTGAGTCTTGGAGGAATTTTTTCAAACTTTTACTTTTGTGATGGATGGGGATGTTTTATTACTGCTTTTGGTTTCAAATCCGATTATGGCTCGCTTTAGAGCATGGATTCATTTGGCAGCATCATGGGCTATGTTTGGGACTTTTGGCTTTTTCTGCTGGTTTCTTTTGCTGGAGGTGCTGGATGGTTGTTATTGCTGGATTGACTTCAGGGCATTTAGTTGCGGGAATTTTGAACAGTTCCTCTACTTTTTGATCTGCTGCCTTTTGGTCGTGATTGGTTTTAATCAGGACGATGATGAAGCTCCATTCGTTGTATGCTGCTTGCCTCCCCTTGGATGGTCTTCGGGCAACCAGGGGTCAATTTTATTCTGAGTCCTGGTTAATCTTGTTGGAGCCCTTTTGAGATCTTGGATTCCTTTACTTTCAACCTGTTCTGCCAGGTTTTGCTCCTTATGTTTTGCAGGTCATTTTATTTGCTCCTCTTCTGGGACTTATGGGATTAGATTAGATTGATTACCTCCTTCCTACTTGGGGACGTTTGCTCCAGAATCTGCCTGTTTGTCTTCCGTTGAGGTCCTCCTGCTGCTTTCTACAATCAAACGGTTTCCCTCAGCTCTTTTGGTGCATCAGATTGTTACTGGTTTTTGTTTTTATCATTGGGGTGGTATAGTTGTGGTTTTTGGGTCCTTCATTAGTTTTTGTTTTTGCTTATGAAGGGTGTTTTTTTGTTCCTTTCTTGTAATCATTTTTACCTGTAACTTTTTATCTTAATATATGGGCTTTGGCCCCAATTTCTCCCAAAAAAAAAAAAAGAATTAATCATTTTAACTTGTTAACGCCTCCTGGTTTTCTACTTTTGTGGCTTTTCAAATGAAAGATATGATGTCTCGTATGATTCTTACACTTCTCTCTAGTTATATGTGTGTACTAGATATATGTTTAAAATTAAGACAATAAACTCTCTTTTTCTCTACTGTCTTGAATATTCTGACGCGCAACAACTGCAAAGTGTAAATAATATTATAATTTTAATTTTTAAAACAAATAATCCTCGAATCTCTGGTTGATCATGGAGCCACGTATGTGTTTTGACAGCAATCATTCAATTCTACCAGGTAATGTGTGGATGAAGGGATGGCGATCTGAGATGAAGAGAGATTAAGTCGATAAAATATGGGAAATATGGGAAATGCCCAAAGTATTTATAATAAAATAACTCATAAAAAGCAAAGAATTATGAGGACTGGCGTCATCTTCCAGTAGGCCAATTATATTGTGTTCAGTGGCATCGTGTAAGATTTTTCTTCTTATTTTATATTCAAAACAAATTTTCCACGCAAAAACAGTAAATATATTATATTATGACAGGAAAAACTATCATTGGAAGTTCCATGTGATATATCATTGGAAGAT